GAAATGATATAGAAGCGTGTATAAAAAAACAAAGCGACGCCAAACATGAGAGAAACAATCTCCATGACAAACTGGGCGCAACRAAGGAGATGATTGTCTTGGTGCTAAAGGTACCTTTTTCATTTTTTTATTATTTATTTATATATATATCTTTTTCATTCAAARTTTCTTTTATCTCATCTAGGCAGCAGAGTTTTGGGACGACATCGCTTCGCTCTGCGACAGTGCCTCAWTGAAATCKGARAATCTTGCAAGTGTAATGCGTTCTGCGGCGTCGAAAATGGAGAATACAGTGAAAATACTAAGAAGCAGGGGCACGCAGACCTTGGTGGGATCCTTCAAAGATAGCTGGCARGAAWTCGAGGAAATGATTCGAACCAACGATCTTGTGATCGCAGAAGAAGACTGCCCTGCCGAGTGTATTCTGGGKCTCCAAGGGTTTCTCGAATTTGGGCAAAGGGGCATGGTTACTAATTCTGTAGACTCGAGAACCCTTACTCTTAATACAGTCGCCATATTAATGGCTTTCGTTGCATTTTTTGGCTGTTTTTCTGTTATCCAAGGAACTTACCTGACAATCCATTCAATTGCTGTGGGTTTGGCTGTATTTATCGCTAAGTGTGTAGGGGGTTTGTATTCCATCGTATATTTCATAATATACATTTTTTGCTGTCTTGTTTACCTTTTGTATGTCATTTTGAGTTTTATAATCTCATTTAAGATTGTGAAGATTGGTTCACTGTTAGCCAGTGTCGGAAGTGCTGTTTATGCTTACAAACATGGTTATTTGGAAAAGCTAAAACAAAAACTTCAATAAATGATGTAAGACACGACCCCACCCTAATATCACATGCAGGGGATTAAGGACATACTAGTAGTAATTTAGATATTTTGTTTTATGTTGTTACCTGACAATCCATGAAATTGTTGTGGAGTGTTGTGGGTTTGGCTGTATTTATCGCTAAGTGTGTAGGGGGTTTGTATTCCATCGTATATTTCATAATATACATTTTTTGCTATCAGCTTGTTTACCTTTTGTATGTCATTTTGAGTTTTGTAATCTCGATTGTGAAAGTTGGTGCTCTCTTAGCCCAGTGTCGTATATGTCGTAAGCGCTGTTTATGCTTACAAACATCATTGATGTAAGGAACGCTGCCCCACCCTACCATTCCAGGGGATTAAGGACATACTAGTAGTAATTTAGATATTTTGTTAATGTTGCATTTCCAACCGCTTTCCAACTTCAGGCATTGATGTAAGACACGCTGCCCCACCCTACCATACCAGGGGATTAACGAGATACTAGTAAATAGGCAATTTAATTGTTCATGTTGTATTCTCAACTGCTGTAACGAGAGATAAGTTAATATCTGAACACTCAGTTTGTACAAGACGAGCTGAAGGTCGTTGATAAGTAGTTCGAAAATAAATGATATAAAACTTGTTTTTTTGGTTATGTTGATTTGTGCAGAATGCTGCACCAAAGCGTGCCAAGAAAATGCGCGACATTTGACATTACCTTGCTTGGCATTAGAGTCATTTTCAACCGTCTGTGAAACAATTAATTACTGCTAGTCAGTGTTTAATGGTAACTATTAGGGTGTAGTAGGCTACCGAAAGGCAAAATCAAAGCCGTGTTTGCCTAATTTGTTTGTCGCATGTCATAAGTTAAACTATTGGGTGCTAATAGGGGGTAGTATTGGGTGCTAATAGGGGGTAGTATTTAATAGTACAATTCCTATTTCACAGACGGATGAAACTGACTCTATTGTAATGTAAACACTCTGTGCACAAAGAAGACAACGAAAATGCTTGAAAGTTGAATTCATTCCTTTGGGCTTCCTGTGTTACTTGTTGGTATCCCTGTGGTAACTTTCAAAATGGCGGGCGCGAACACGGATGTCACTCCTTCAACTTCTTTTACAATTCTGAATTGACAATGTCTAGACCACGAGGATCTATTGTACAGTTTAACTGGCAGGATTCGCCAGAAGGCAGGGAATATTTCGCTGGGATTTTACGTCGGAATCGACGMAAAATATTTGGTAAGCTGAGAGAAGTCAATTAATAGTTGATGTCTAAAAGTTTAAGCTTACATGTAAGTTAGGCTTATATTTTTGATTCATTTGACCAGGTTCATTATTTTTGATTATGGTCAACAGAAGCAAAAGTAAACTTAATTTTAAGCTTAATAAGCTYGTTCARCTGTCAAAGAAAAATATGTTTTTGCTAAAAGTATTCAACCACATTTTTTGTTAATGACAGGATTGTTAGAAATCCCGAGTCTTCCTATGCAGTCYCCCCCTGATATCATCAATTATAAGATAGTATTGTATGGCAAGCCAGGGATAGGCAAGACAAGCACCATTGCCAAGCTCAGTGGACAAGGTATATCAATTATACTAGTCATAGCTACCGCTAAGTGCCAACGAACAGATGATGTTTTGCAGAAATTGTCATGCAGGGGATTTAGCGCGACATTAACAAATAGATGAAATATGTCACTAAGAAAACAGTTAGCGTCATGTGAAGTTTGTTGTCTTTTCGATCTTATCCTGGATGGGTCTCCTCCTGGATGTCAGTTTTTTATAAGCGCCAGATTTTTATGTAGACTCGGTCAAGATATCATTGCAATGTTAATGGTTTGTAGTAGMCTATAGACTCTTCCAAAGTCGCTTACCAGTCGTCAAAGTACGCCATAGCTAAAGGAAGAAACTGTTGAAGTTAAATTACTGAAAAGACCATAGACGGTGAGTAAATTAGGTCTCTGTTCCTTCATTTTGTTGTATTGACCTGTGCACACTACCAAAGGGCGGGGGTCCTCGGCGGAGATTGTGAAAATGACCCCTAAAAGGGACCTCTATTGTGAGATGATGGGCGTGGCAGTGCTAAAATTTCAACCCTAAAAGGGACCAATCAATAACAGGTCATTTTGTTCTGGTTTACCGATTTTATTTGTCTTTACACAATCATCGAACACCGTCGGCTCGTATTGAGTTTATGACGACGTTGCCATTTTATGACTGCTTAGGGTCACAAAACACAGTTGGTAAGAATTCTTGTCAGGATAACCCTAAGCAGGACCAAAATACTGATTTCAAACCCTAAAAGGGACGCCGAGGACCCCCGCCCTTTG